TCTTTATAAACAATGCATTCAGCAAACTAAGAATAAAAATGAAATCGCTCAACTTAATCAAAAAATTCGTGAATTGATGAGTTCGCTTTTAATCCTCATGTGGAGTGACACGAGCGCTAAGTACATCATTCCAGAATTTTCTAATTAAAACAATTAACGCCCTAACTTGTTAAAAAATCAGGGATTTGTTTATATAAGGTAACTAGTGCCACATAATTACTCACAAAAGATTTGCGTTTTAAATTTCAACAACTTCGGCGTTTTTGCTTTTCTATCTAATTGTTTGATGAATCTATTGTTGTCCTGATTTGATATAAAAAGTAATAGAATTCTTTGTATATATAATAAATAATTGACGAAACTTCTGATAGTATACACTAAAAAACTTTTGATAGTTTACATTAGCGATAGTTATTATTTTGATATTTTGCAAGTTAAACCCATGTTAAGGTTAGTAAGACCACACAAATTTAATATGGTTTTCATAACATAAAACTTTTAAACAGACCCGGCTGGCTGGCTTTTTCTTTAAGCATCATATCTAAATCTTATAAAATTTTTTCAAAATTTGACCCGGCCGGGTTATGAAAACAAATTAATTAATTTTGCATGGCTTAATTATGAACAAATTAAATTGTCTTGAATAATTTGCAAGTTGGTGAGCGGTTAATTATTGCTAATATATGTCTATCAATCTATAAGTATCTAATCTTAAAGGCGTTAACGCATTTATATTTTTCAATTTTTTTGTTAATACTTTTAAGATTTCATTATTTGAATCTTTATTATGAAATTTAGCAATTTTATTTGATAAATTCATTTTTCCAAAAAAAAAGTGACACCCATAACAATAGTTATTATTGCAAAAAAAATTCTAATTTAAATGTTTTTGATTTCCTACTCGTATAATTCTATATTGAAGAAATGGAAAAGAAAATTATAATAATGACAAAAGGGGCAGATCTTAAGAATTTAACAAAAAATACTAAGACCACTTCCGCAGAAGCAAAGGCAGTGGGTTTGTCGAACGGGAATGCAAAGAGCAACGCCTCCTCATCACGTTCTAGTCCAATTATTGGTTCGAAACGTTTGAGTGATTCTCCGGTACCATTAAATGATGATCCAACCGTTAATGCCTCAGTAACAGTCATCACAAAAGCTTCAAATACTACGAAATCCACAGTAACAAAATCATCACAGAACACACTTTCGTCTTCAAAAAAACCATCACGGGTTATGTCTGTAATTCCTGATGCATCAAAAACATCGACTACGCCACCCTTCAAGTCGCGCACTTTACCACTACCTACACAAAACGGATTAAAAGCGAACTCATCAATTCCCGAATCTTTTACTTCAGATCTGATTTTTGAAAATAAGGCGAAAAGGATATCTTCATCAAATACATCTTCAGAAGTGGATGGAATTTCTCCAACTGCCCGTCTCGCGTCAGCGGACGTTCATGGCAGATTTTCACCTGTTTTAAAATCAGTTAACGTCAAAAATACAATTGCCACATTAGAAAAAAAGGTGACACAAAATGGTAGCGTTTCAGCAACAAGTAGCGAGATGTCTCCAACTACAACAAATTTTACAGTCACCTCAGATACAAATTTAGAAGATATGGACATGGAACAATTAGAACGATTGTTCCTTAATGGAGCACGGTCCCCGTCGATCGTATCAAATTATTCATCAAATGCTCCCTGGAAGTCGGATATTCCTCTAGAGTTATCTGATGTATCATGGAAAAGTGATGATAATACGTATGATAATACTCGGATGACTTCAGTAGCAACGAACTATCATTTTACTGATCCAGATGAACAGGTTACTATCTTTCAATAAACCTAAAATATTCCGTGAAATGTATTTATTATTTAGGCAACTCCAAATTGATTGTGTTAAACATAAAAAAAAAAATATTTCGTAAGGGGGCATCAATACCAAAAATACAGTAATTCTATTGGCTGTAAAAATCTAAAAAGCTAATACTGCAATTTGATTGGTTAATATGGTGTTTTTTTACGCAAAATTTAAAAACTAGAGAGAGGGGATTATGTTAAACATAGAAACAATTTGGAGCGGCCTTATTTGAACATGACATTTACTTTATTATTATTTTGCAAAATAGTTGCGAACGGGTTTGTCTATGATACAGGAAGCTTACAATCGCAAATCTTTATCGGTTTCCTCTAGTTTATGCGATGGAGAAAAAGGAAAGGTAATGATTAATGTAAATTCAATCATTGTAAATTTCAATGTTTGTGCATTTGTTAAAGTGTTATAATCTCTTTATAAACAATGCATTCAGCAAACTAAGAATAAAAATGAAATCGCTCAACTTAATCAAAAAATTCGTGAATTGAGTGAAGCTCTTATCAAAGAAGAGGGAGAAAAGAATAGATTGTTAATTGCAAAGAATACAATGACAGATCGATATAATAAATTATGGAATGAGGTACTTAACAAATTACAGTCAACTCCCGCTATAGTCACATCGTTTGACAGAAATTTGATGTAACTATAACGAGAGATACACATTGTGTGATTATGGTGAGAGTTAATTTTATAATATTTAGCCATAAATGATTGGTATATAGCTTAAAAAAATTGGGACTATTGTGGGTGTTGACTGTATTTTATTACTCTTATAATTACTATAAATTTTTTACATAATTGAAATAATTTTTTTCTATTTAGCATAGAAATTGTACTAATAAATCAGCTGGTGTGGGAACTAGTAATAGTATAATTACAGTTATTAATAATGGTAAACAAGAAATACAGAAATTTCTAAAAACACTTGAACCTGAAGAGAGACAAGAATTGTATGTCGCATATAATGACTAAATATTTATCGTTAACCATTAATCATTGTATATTAATATACGGATTATGATATTACAGATTGGCTGAATTTCTTGAATGTTGTCATCCCCATGACATTCACACTCAGCAATCATTATTAGAACATTACGCAAAGAAAACTTTTGACTTAGTTGGATCCCTTCCAAATGAACTAGCTACTAAAATTCTTTCGCTATTATCAGCCGAAAATCTTTGTTGCGCTAGAGAAGTGTCTAAACGTTGGCGAGAAATGGTCAATGAACCGGATCTTTGGAAAGCAAAATGTCTATCAACTACTCAAGATGATCCAGTTCCTCTTGCATATCCTTCTGATCCTAATCAATGGGAAGAGATTTATCGCGGTCTTCATTATCGTGAACATAATTGGGTTCTCGGTAATGTGCAATCTGTTAAATTCCTCAAAGGACATACCGCAAACGTTACAGCGTTGAAATTGAAAAAGACCACATTAGTTACTGGAAGTTATGATGAGACTGTACGAATTTGGGATATGAGGAATGGTAGGTGTTTAAAAGTTTTACAGGGTAAAGCCATAAGTTGTGTTGATTTCATATTAGAGACGAGGATGGTTGCTGCTGGATTTAATGAACAAGGGTATATACTCATAATTAATTAATTATTTATTTATTTAATTTTGTCTTACATGTTTCCTGATAATTTTACATATTTAAAGTAGGGCACATGTTTGGCACATGGATTCGGGTGAAGTATTGCTGACACTTACAGCACATAATCGCGGTATCAAGGGATTGTCAATGAATAAAAGACATATAGTAACGGCGGGTCATGATATGTCAGTCATTGTGTGGGATTTGAAAGAAGGGACGAAATTGCATACCTTTAGAGGATTTGGTAATATGGTATGTGATATATTTAATACAGCGTTGTGAATTAAAAATTTTTTTCTTATGCTTATATAATTTGTTCGACAGCTTCTTGGGATCCAGCTTTTGGGCAACAATAATTTGATAGCTATAAATAGTGATGGCTGGATTCGTACGTATGCACTTGAAGAAAAGCTCCAAATCCATCAATACAAAATCCCAGATAATTCTCACATTCAATGGTTTTCTGCATTGGGAATGGATGTAACATGTTCAACAACCCGTACAATATATCAACTTCGTTGGCAAAACAAATACATTCAAACGGGAAAAAAAACAAAAGGTGTAGACGAGATTATCATTGAACCGGATTTATCTATGGATCCAGTGATAAAACGGAAAGTTACATCTGAAGCGGAAATATTTTGCGGAACAACTGATAATACTAAAGATAGGATTATTTTTAGCACAAGATTTAATAGCAGGACGCATAACAATAAAAGTATATATGTTTACTCACAAGAAAAAGGTATTAACAGATTTGGAGGGCTGTGGGAAAATATGGCCGATCAAATGACCACAAATAACATGGGACCTTTATGTATGGATGTTGATCATGAAAAAGTCATTATTGGATCAATGGGAGGAGTTGTTTATGTTTTGGGATTCGTTGGAGATAGAGAATGATGTTTTAATTGTCCTTTTTTCATTGTAAATACGATTATTATGAAGTAATACAGAAAAAAACATTGTATGAATTTTTGGAGTGATTTTGATATAATTTTTTCGTTTAATGGAACCATTTATTATCCGATTGTTGTTTCAAAAATAATCATAAGTTTTGCAAATTTATAAGTTTTTCTTAATTACATAATTTGGATCTCATGCAGTATAGGTGACACTATTAATAAAATAAATTTATATTATTTAATCAATTGACTTAAAATAGGCGTCGTCTATACTGCACAAGATCTCATAATTTAAAATGACTTCTAATAATCCTAAAACATATTTTTGAGAATATGTTTTATCAGTTAGAATTTGAGTCTGAGATTTTTCTCAACTGATTATTTACTGTATTTTGAAGTTTTTTTTATTAAAGAACTATTATTAAATCTTATTAATTCAATAAAGTAAATGATGAGGTTACAAATACTTAAGGATTCTGTGATTGACAAAATTGAACAAACAATTTTTTTCTATCATAATTTTGGTACAAGCTTACTTAAATCTAACCTAACATTAACTTAAATCTACTTCAAAATCAGCTTAATGCAGGCCGATGTCGATCATCAATTTAGGCCAAATGATCAAAGAATATCTAGAGATGGGTAATTTACTTAAGTTATTTTAACTGACGTAAGTTTAAATTTAAGTAACGTAAGTTACATGTAACTCTTACCCTAGAATAATTCGGATATTTTCGGATATTGAAAACAAATAGCTTGACATTTGTGTTTATTGATTGTCCATCTCGGAAAAACCAACCGGGGTTAAATCACCACCCAAAAATTTTTCAGACCGTGTAACATTATATGAATTATGATGTAATTATTTTTTATATTAAATAAAAAATTTTTATTGATATGAAAGAGATTAAAACATAATGAAGAAGTGTGAACGTTGTTATGTTATAAAGCCAAAAGAGGCATTTAAAAAAGGAAAAAACGCAAATACAAAAGAGGCAAAAACATGTCTTGATTGTCGAACACAAATATCTTCAAAAATTATGTTAAAATATAACCAAAAACGGGAAGAAAATATAGCACAAAATCAAAGAAACGCAATAGTACCAGAAAATATTGTAGATCACATACTTGAGACACTTCCAATGGATTATGATTTAAGCGACTTTTTGTTTGAAAAAAGATTTTTTATAATATTAGATCAACTAGTAAATTCTATTGATATGGATTCAGAAAAACAATTATATAAAGAAGTTGCACAATTTTTAGTTGATCGTATTTCCAAGGCTGATTATTTTTCATGGACCTATCATAAATATGAACAGTTGAATAATTCAGTTGCATTTATTTACTATTGCAATAGTCGAGATTAATTAAAAAATAAGAAACCACGAACTAATCAACGTGATACTACAATTAGAATTCAGCGTCATGACTGTGGAGGCACTATTCGAATTAATATTGATCAATTAAATAATTTAGTTGTAGTTAATATTTATCATTTTCTTCATTCACCACCTGAAGCAAAGAATGTTACTATACAAATTCGTAATTATATAATAAGGAATAACTTATTAACTGTTCCACAGCTATATGAGAATATCAAAAAAGAAAAAATCGATGGTTTTTTGCAGCTTACTCGACATCAAGTATATTATTGGTCTAAAAAAATAGCTACAAAAGAATACAAATTATCAGATAATCAATTAGAATCCGCTCAACTATATTTAAAAAATCATTTAAATTTTCAGCTTCTTTATCAGGATGAACATTCGTTAGCTTTTGCTACGCCTTTATTATATATACTACCTAATCATATTACAAAAACAATTGTTGTAGACGCTACATATGGAACCAATAAATTAAAGTTTGAGTTATATGCTACTCTTGGAATTATTGACGGTGCCGGATTTCCACTGTCTTATTTTTTTCTTGAGCCAAAGCATCCACATGGCAAAACAAATGCAATAGCAAAATGGTTGTTTTATTTAAAAGAAAATGGAATGTATGACGTTGAAATATTTTTAACTGACAAAGATCGTAGACAGATTACTGCTATTAACCAAATTTGGACTAATGCAAAGGTCCAATTATGTTATTGGCATGCATTACGTGCTATCAAAAAAAAATTATCTAGCACAGGAATTGCACATAATTATTATAATGCGCATGAAGCACATCTTCTTTGTTCAATTATTAACCCTAATTGGCAACTAATTAATCAAAATTGTGCATCTGCAGATAATAGAAATCAGGAGCAATTGAACAATGACAATAAAAATAAGACTTTTTGTCAAAAAAATTTTCGCGAAAGTATTCTTTATATGATTTGTAATCATTTTTCAAAACATCCAATGATTCCAGTTGAAGGCATGAATTTTTTGAATGCAAAGCAAATTTGGAATATATGCGTTAAAGAGCAATTTGACTATTGCTATAAAAACAATCTTCCACATGTATAGGCATACTTGTGGAACGAGTGGTATCATCCTGAAATGTGGAAAATTTGGGCACATGCATCAAATTCAAAAATTAATATTTTACGGAGTACTATGGCTATTGAAAGCCATTGGCGAGTTTTAAAGCATGATTTTTTTTCAAATTATAATTATGCACGATTGGATTTAATTATTTATATTATTATTACTAAAGTTATTCCACGTCAGATTGATCGATTACAATTGTTACGTGATGAACGATGTATAACAAAATGGCGTGAAGATTTTCGAGCTGAATGGAAAAAATTATCAACTGAAATAATTAAGAACAACCCTAATCGTATTACTAATCTTTCATTTTGGGTATGCTCATGTTCTAATTTTCTTTTAAATCGATTTTATTTTTGTAAGCATTTAGTACAAATGCGTAATCCTGTAGAACCTGGATTTTTTAAAAAAGTAAGTATATAATGAAATTATAATTGCATAATTTAAAATTTAACATTTTATTTAATTAAGATTACGCGTCAAGAATCATATCCTTTATTGAAAATTAAAGATAAATCCTCTTTTTTAGATTTATCAAAAAATGTTTATCTTGCAGTTGAAACTCTTACTCCTGAAATTTGTAAATTAATTATATGTAATAAAAAATCTAATTATCAAAAAACATTAGAATGTCTAACTCAAGAAGTATCAGAATATCAAACTCAAGAAGCATCAGAATATCAAACTCAAGAAGCGTCAGAATATCAAAATCAAGAAACATCAGAATATCAACTCAAGAAGCATTGGAATATCAAATTAAAGAAATATCAAAATGTCAATTACAAGAACATGATGATTCTATTAATCAAGACTTAATTCTGTTTAAAAAGCGAAAGCAAGAAATTTTTGAATTGCTTGATTCAACAAAAACAATTCTTGAAGAAAATATGTTGAAT